TTCCTCTCTGTGCCCTTTTCTTTAGTGCAGCCATCTGCAATGAGTTAGAGAGAGAGACAAGAAGTGGGGCTGCAGGCTGACATGCTTAACTAACAAGAATGCTTCATTCATTATATCTGTCTATCTAGCATAAAATCCCAATAAGCTGCTCGCAACTGCAAAACACTAGTGCTAGCTAATGTTTTGCACACTATTAAAAGTGAGGCTATTGCAGTAGACCTAACGTTAGTCTCGTAGCCTCACTTCTAATATGTTGCTAAACATTTGCTAGATACATGTTGGCTAGCTAATGAGCTTCACATATCAACCTGAAAAACTGCGAGGCTCCACTCGCAGCCCCTCCCCCCCCTCCGCACCACAGTTACTCCGCTGCGAGACGCTGTATGCACCCCCAACTCTGACTGACTTCCCGCGTCCCTGTGTAACTGGGAAACTGATAGAATTGGATCATAAGATCGTGTTTTTGCAACTTCAGCATAGGGGATAGGGATGTTTATTGAACTTCGGTTTAACACATGTATGGCTCTGCTGCTCAGCGCTGCTGCTTGCTTCAGTCTGTGTCTGCGTTCTTTCGCACGCACCTGCCTGTAATCTGAGAAGGTCCCGCCTCTCTGGCTCCCGCCCGGAAAATCTTCAGTAATAGCCTATCAGATAGCGCTGTGGGCGGGACATTGCTCGTGTCCACAGAGTGGTGACTGCAGCCAGAGAAACGGCCGCATCAGAGCCAAAGTTTTATCGGCAATTTGATTTAAAAAAAAGGCCGATACCGATAATCGGTCAAATGCAGAATATCGGTCCCCTAATAGATATATATTTCCGCTAGGATTAAGAATTTATTTTACGTGTTTCAATTATAAGAATTGTGTAGCAGAGTTTCCGTTAGCAGGTAATCACCGGACTATGACCGGATATGCTGATAAAACTCAGTTCATGGGAGTCATTTTTATTTTGCTTCAGTTTATAATCGTAACAGATCGAAAAGTTCAGATTCATTTTTCAATAAATGATCAGTAATCATTTTAAGGTTACACAGACATTGGATTAACCGTTTGTATGCCCTTAAACACAACTTTTGATCACAAAACAGCAAAGGTAAGACACAATTATCCTCATGGCTACGTAAAGTTTTCTTGCTCTTTCCTGGCTGTACATCAATACCGTCCAATCAGGTACCGGTACTGACTTAGAACCGGTTCCCGATACCCATCCCTACCCAAGACACTTTACAAATACAGGTTAAAAAGGCATACAAAAAAGACAACAACTGGAATGATGTGAGCCTTGTGACAAAAAAGAAAGGACAGATAAGCTGCTCAAATGGTGCAGGACTTCCTTTTAATGGCCCAACGAGCTATAAATCTCAGACCTCATCCATCCACTTTCCTCGCTGCTGTTTCACGCTTGTTAATGGAAGAAAGGCACTTAACCTGAACCACAGTAAGAAAAATGGCCGCTCTTAAGTGACCATTAAAGTCCGGAGAAGAGAGGTTTGTGTGGACGACAAAGTGGAAAAACTCTCTGGTTTAAACCGCCTCCTGAGATACGGTTTCTTATCATCATCTCACTTTGTTAAAAGGCTTTTTCAACATTCATCACCATCACACAAGAAGAAAATAAGCCTCACAAAGGAACATGTACAACCAAAAGCACAACACGTTTTCTTTTTTTAAGTAAAATAACTACAAGTACATAAGAAAAAGCTAAATCAGATAACAGTAATTACTTACAAAATCAAAAAAATGGTTTACCTTAATGTCACTTGTAGGATAACATTTTTTAACATCTTCCTGCCTCTGTCTGAACGTCTGCCTTTTTATGTATTAATAATTAGTTTTAGATCAGACACACTGAGCCTTGCGGAGTTTTGTATTTCAAAATACATTTTAATCATTTTTGTTCTACTTAAAATCGGCTGCGGAGTAGAGAAAATCACGAGTTAAGCCCCTTACACACCGGGCCGAATTCGGCCGTCGATAGATGTCTGGCCGTCGATGAGCGTCGTGTCGTCCTACTCAGATTGGTGTGTCCCGCCCCGTCGTGTTTTTTCGGCCGTACCGACACCTTCCGCCACCGATTCGACATGTTGAATCGGCAGGCCATCGGTAAAAAGCCGTCGGCTAAAGAAATTACTCTGATTGGCTGTTCAGCTAGCGAATCAGTGCATGAGAATCGAAACGGAAGTGAGGGACCCAAATAAACTATTAAGCTCTCGACTCGGGTTCGGGAAAGCCCGTGAGCTTCTCGCTGTAGAGTGAAAATGGAACGTTTATATCACGCAGTCTGTTCTTCTTCTCTCGGTTATCACGCAGTCTGTCTTCCGGTTGTTGCCTCTTTTGAATGACGAATACACACTACCGCCGCCTGCTGGTAAGGAGAGTTATTGCCACTCACGCATGCGCAGTTCGTACGTGCTACTTGGCCGTCGACTGAAGTCTTTGCGGTGTGTTCCAGTGCGACTGTTGGCCAAGACGCAGGAGACGCGAGGCGACACAACAGTCAGGTCCATCGGGACGTGTTCTTTGGTGTCAGATTGGTGTGTAGGGGCCTTTAGGCAAACAAGCAAAGAAACACAATATTCCTATAATATTCATTTAACTTAAAAGGTCTTTGATCAATACATGCACGCATTACGACTCCTCCTGAGTGCGTCCTGCTCTGTGTGACAGACTCTCTTACAGGAAGACATCAAAGATAATTCACATGTGACACAAGAACATTTGGGCTCGATCACAAGAGACCCAAACACTGATCAGATGCAGGATGTCATAAAAGCCTCCAGGCAACTTCTTGCAGTCATAAAACCCTTTACCTTTCCCCCGTGAACGCAGACGAAATGTTCTTTTCATACATATTTACAGTATAACGTCAGAGCATGCGTTATCTCGAAGGATTTAAATTACTTCAAGGATACCACTTCGTTAAAAGTTACATTTCATTAGGTTACACTTAATTAAGCTTTAATACCATGACGTTGCTATACAATGTGTTAACGATATTGCATTTTGATATCCGCACAAATAGCCTTTAGTGAAATTGGTGCCGTCTCGTCACATTGACACCTTTTGTCATAGTTTCATTAAGAGAAACATACTTTGCTTTCAGTTGCATAGATGATCTTTCTTCTTGCTCTATCTTTCATTGTTTTATGGTTAATATTTGTGACTCGCTCTATCGAAATCAGTCGGAAGTCGCAACGGCTCAATTCAAAAATAAACGTGGATTTGCGTGAAAAACAATTTTTTCGGGGTTCGGGTGTTTTGTTTGATTTTAAACAAACAAAGTCTTTGCTTTCAGAATATGAAACTTTTATTTCCAAACTCACGATAAATACATTCTTTAAGCTTGTAAAGGGACGATGACAGGCTGTTCCACATGCCGCCCCCCCTCCCTCCGGCTGACATTATGAATGTAAGCGTAGAGTAATCATAGATAACACGGCAGGGTCCGTTACAGTTTGTTTTCATCTGATTTCAATTAAACAAAGTCTTGGCTTTCAGAATATTAAACTTGTTTCGGCAAATTCAGATGATAAATACAGCTTTGAAGCTTCGGCATAATTACAAGCGGAGAACGGAGTAACTTGACATCACAGCAGGCATAACAACAGCCGGTGTTTCTCGTGAGGGTTTTCCCCGGGAAACAAACACAATACACACAAACGCAAAATGACACAAACACGTACACACACACACACACACACACACACACCACACACACACACACACACACACACACACACACACACACACACACACACACACACACACACACACACACACACACACACACACACACACACACACACACACACACACACACACACACACACACACACACACACACACACTCGCGAGCTTCCCCCAGACCAGTAATCCAAACGAAAATATCTTCCCTCCGTAGTATTTTGATCATTTGCTAATAACCAATCAGATCGATGGATTCCAGAGAAGAGAAAACTTTGAAGGCCTTTTTCTCAAAATGAGGACTCGTGACAGTCATTATATAATGTGACATATTTCGCTTAATATTTGGAGTACAACAACAATCCAGATATCATTAGAGAGCTAGGAATCTCCTCTTTCCAACAGTGTATACAACTCAAAATGTGTCTTCGGGTCAATGCGACTGATTTCGATAGAGCAGGTCACATATGTACGTTGCACTCTTGGAGAAGCCGGGGACTTTACATTTTAATTGCTAAAACGATTATATAGCTTTTGTGCAATATGACAGTAAAGCCTTTGAATCCTTGACCTTTAATTAAAGCAGCTAAATAAGTACCAGCTGCAAAGTTCGTACACATGTTTCTCTCTGCTCTAAAAAAATCCCTCAAAACTCACCTTTTCACTCTTGCCTTCGACTCCTAATCCACTAACCCCTCGCTCCTATTCCACCTAGCTTTGCACTTTGTACTTTCTTTTGTTGTTATTTTCCTTCTTTACTTGCTTGTAAAGCGCTTTGAGCACCGGGAGAAGCGCTATATAAATAACATGTATTATTATTATCATTATTCTCTCTGCGCTAACTCCTCCTTTTCTTCTCGCCCTTGGTGCTGTATTGGTTTCTTTAAAGAAATGAACACGAGAGAAAAACACTTTGCTTTCAGTTGCATCTCATCATGAAAGAAGTGCATTAACACATGTTGTCAATAGTTTCAAGAGGAGAAATATACTTTGCTTATAGTTGCATACATTCTCTCTCTCTTCTTGTACTATTGTTCATAGTTTTACGGTTAATATATTTGTTCCCTTTGAATCCTTGACTCTTAAAATCATAATTAATGCAAACAGTTAAGGAACAGCTGCACAGATCGTCCAATGTTTCTCTCTGCTCTAAAAGATCCCTCAAAACTCCCCTTTTCACTCTTGCCTTCGACTCCTAATCCACTAACCCCTATTCCACCTAGCTTAGCACTTTGTACTTTCTTTTGTTGTTATTTTCCTTCTTTACTTGCTTGTAAAGCGCTTTGAGCACCGGGAGAAGCGCTATATAAATAACATGTATTATATTACTACTGTCTATCAAATTGTAATGATTGTATTACTTCATGAATTTTACTCAACAGACTGTACGTGCTTTGTCATGCTTTGCTTTCTGTTTTGTAAGACGTTGCTTTTGTAGATTTTTGTCGGTGCATCTCAAGGGGATTATCCTAATAAATAAATGTCTATATATTATCATTATTCTCTCTGCTCTAACTCCCCCTTTTCCTCCCCCTTTGTCTCTCAGGGAGAATCTGGCCAGTGACATGTACCTCATCTCTCAGATGGACAGCGATCAATACGTGCCAATCGTGACGGTGGCGAACCTGGACCACGTGAAGAAGCTCAGCACCGACGTGGAGCTGATCGTGGGCATTTTACGATGTGAGTCTAATGATCTGCCACTTTGTGATTTCACTCCTCTTATTCTAATCGTTGGAGAGAAGCAGGAGTTAAAGCAGGGATGTCCAAACTACGGCCATTTTGAATCGGCCCTCAGCTAATTCAAAAAGTTAAATGAAATATGGGCCAGAAATTAAACTTGTGCTTGTCTCATATTACACTTCTAAAATATATATGAGTATCCATGTGTTCGTAAACCCACTTTACAAATACATTCAGTCAGTTAAAGTTTAAGGAATGAGCTGCCAACACAATAAATGAAACCCTGCGGAGAGAAGTGAGCTGTTGTTTTCTTAAAGCATATTCAAGTAACATGTACCTACATTTGATTGATTTAGCTGACTTCTAACTTAACTTATTTGGCAATATGCCTCGCCTCAAGTTGCCCTTCCTATATGTTTCTGAACGTGGTCCTCAGTGAAAAAAGTTTGGACACCCCTGAGTTAAAGGATGTTTGTTTACTTGCTTACGAAACTGTCGAGACAATCGAACCGGGGTGATTTCCCAGGAGAGGATGTTAAAGTCTTTCCTGCTTGTGTTTGATTTACACACACACGTACACACACACACACACACACACACACACACACACACACACACACACACACACACACACACACACACACACACACTACACACACACACTACACACACACACTACACACACACACACACACACACACACACACACACACACACACACACGTACACACACACACACACACACACACACACACACACACACACACACAGTTTATAGATGCACTCTGATTTACTCAGTGTCAAGATTGAATGTATGAACTCGAGATGAGATATTTGATTGAGCTGCTGTTAGGCCTCATGTATTAGTGTTTAATGTTTGACTTTTAGATTATATTTAGATTATATTTATTGATCCCACATTGGGAAAACATTTTGTTACAGCAACTCAATAGAAATGTACTTTATAACAGTACATTATAAGAGTCAGGATTTTAAGGGTAAATGTGTTTTCTTGTACATTTGGTGATGCTTTATTTTCCCATTTGCAGCGCTGCCATTGGTCCAGGTGGATGAGAAGGGGGAGAAGGTGCGGCCCAATCAGAACCGCTGCATCGTGATCCTCAGAGAAGTTCCTGAGAGCACTCCTATAGAGGTCAGAACTTTATTCATTACGTTAGATTACACTGTGGCAACAACATGTCCTTATTTAAAGACATTTCTTAATTCATAAACACTTTTACCGACTCTCCTCAATACGAGCATTACTTCTCCACATTCAAATTAGGGCTTGGCGATAATTAAATAGGATCATTTAACGTCTTTTTAATAATGATTTCATGGTGGAATCACACATTAAGATATCTTGATATCATCCAAATGAACTGTTCATTGTTATAAATTATTATTTTCTGTCATCAGCAGCTCACATTTAAAACTTATCAAAAACATCTTAACTTCTTGTACACCAGTCCAAAGGCTTCGGCGTTATTTATGTCAAACAGAACTTTAAAATGTAATTCCTCCTTTCACCACACGGGGCCCTACACATGTGAGCCGATGATATTTGCTTTTCCCTTTTTTCTTTTAAAGATGCTGTATTTTCATTTGTCTTAGGTCGATCCGTGGTAAAACATACACACACACACACACACATACACACCCTTATTTGTTTTGGGTCGATCCGTGGTAAAACATACACGCACGCACGCACACACACACACACACACACACACACACACACACACACACACACACACACACACACACACACACACACACACACACACACACACACATCCTTATTTGTTTTGGGTCGATCCGTGGTAAAACCCGGACTTATTCACATTATCAAATCTGGCCTTCTTTGAACAATGTTGGACCCCCCTGTTAACTACATGCTGGGGTTGATTGACCTGTTATATGGATTTTTGGGTTGTGCATTTTTAGTTTTAGCACCAAATAAGTGTGTATGGTTTCAGAATCAGGATACCTTTTATTCGTCCTACATGGAGGACATTTATGGCGCATTTCCACTACAGCGCGGTTTAAGCATGCCGTGCCCGACCTGTTTTTGGTTGCGTTTCCACTAGGCGTAGTTCCGGCTAACGGGTACTTTTTCACAGTTTTCTGGCTCTCCAAAATCGCCTACACTGCGTTACTATAGTTACTGCCCCAGTTCCTAAACTGTAATGGAAACGCAGCATAAAGTGAGCCTGGCCTAACTATACCGTACTAAGCCGAGCGAGGCCCTGCAGTGGAAACGCGCCATTACATAGTTACGGCAATAGAGACGACAATTAAAACACTATTAGATTAACAGCATGCACATAATATCCAAATTAATATGAAAAAGTTATGTTAAGTAACATTCGTAATACATTTGTCCAGTTTACATATTGCATGTTGCTCAGTTTTGTGTTATATTGAACTAAATGCTGTACATGTTATACCTGAGGGCCTTAAAACACCTGAGATTGAACTAATTGGATCGTCTGCTCTCACACAGAAAAAGGATTATTAGGATTTCGTATGTTGACTAAACGGCAGCTGATTTGGGTCAAACTGTATGACTCAGTTTAAGTTTTTTGTTCCAGATTCTCAAAGTGAGTCGTTATGGAAATCACTTTAACCTCATCTCTTGTTCTGATCTCTAGGAGGTCGAGGCTCTTTTTAAAGGAGACAACTTACCCAAATTCATCAACTGTGAATTTGCCTACAACGACAACTGGTTCATCACCTTCGAATCGGAAGCAGACGCACAGCAGGTAAACGACAACATGATGTATTGAGTTATTTCACCGTGAAACGAGACTTGTTGTTCAGCCTGTTGGATTCCACACACACCTCCTATCTGCATTGTTAGATAAGGAAGGGAAAAAATACATTTGATGTCAACATATTTTATCTTTTGGCGACTTTTTGGACAACCAACATCCTGACATTTTTATGCAACATATTTGGCAAATTCTATAATAATAATAATTAATATTTATATAGCGCTTTTTTGAAACTCAAAGACGGGAGGGTAGACAAACGAGGACAACAAAACTAAACAGAAAAGGCAGTCACGAGGAAGTTGATGGATCATAATTCATAGATTTCATATTTTTTAATTACATATATTTAGCATATTTAAGTGATGGCACGACACAGGGTTAGAATTTGGGAATTTATTGCACTGTCTTTAATCCCATATCTTATTTCCGTCTTAATCTACTTTACAAGATTAAATAAAATGTACTTTATTGTATTTAAGTGTTTGCGTTGCAGCAGCATCAAAAAAACAAAACCAGGCATTGCACATAAGTAGAAATTAAAGAGTAGAAATAAACAATACTAGAATGTAAGCATCTCAAAATGGTAATAAAACTAAAATATACAGTAGACCGTGAAGATAAAAACATCTATAAGCTCTGTCAATAAAACACTATTGTACGGCCAATTTTCATTCAACACAATATAAGCAGGATGTTATATACATTAGAGTGCAGGGATGTACCGGCTTGTGCCCCAAATGTTTTGATCCCCTATATCGTCTTTAAATAACTCTTATTTAGTGTTTTTTCTTGGTTAGCTATAGTTTACTTCACTCTGTGTACTAGAAGAATCTTTATCACACTGCTACCTATTTTATACTTATTTAAATATATTAAATATTTATATTATCATTTGTTTATTTTTTTAACAACGTGCGCTTGCCTTTTTATTAAAGGGGACCTATCGTGCAAAATGCACTTTGTGATGTCTTTTCTACATCAGGATGTGTCCCCGGTGCGTCGGGGAACTCACGCAGCGTCAGGAAATAAAACCCTCTCTCTTTTCCTCCGTACCCACTAAGAAAGTGGATCACATCACTCCAGTTCTGAAGTCTTTACACTGGCTTCCTGTGTGTCAAAGAATAGATTTCTAAATACTGCTGCTGGTTTATAAAGCACTGAATGGTTTAGGCCCAAAATACATTTCTGACCTCCTGCTAAATTGTGAACCATCCAGATCTCTCAGGTCTTCAGGGACTGGTCAGCTTTCTGTCCCCAGAGTCAGAACTAAACATGGAGAAGCAGCGTTCAGTTATTATGCTCCAAACATCTGGAACAAACTCCCAGAAACCTGCAGGTCCGCTGCAACTCTGACTACTTTTAAATCCAGGCTGAAGACTTTTCTTTTTGCCGCTGCTTTTAATTGAACTATTCACATCTTAAACAGCACTGTAACTTTGATCCATGTACTTTTTCTTTTAATGTTTAATTTATTATCTTTTCTTTTTAATGACTGATTTTAAATGCCATTTTCTTAATGTCTTTCGTTTGTTGTAAAGCACTTTGAATTGCCTTGTGTTGAAAAGTGCTATATAAATAAACTTGCCTTGCCGTACCCAAATCTCTAAAAACGGGGCTACAACGGAGCTGATCCAGATTTGCGTCCGATATGACGTAATATCTGAAATGTGGACCCACGGCACTATCAGAAACGTTGCTATCAGAAACAATGCCCGACTGTTTTGGACGTAATATGGTCGGTGTTTACATTAGCATCGCTAACACTCAGAGCTAACCTGTGCTGGAGAGCATGTGTGTGAAGAAGCAGGAAGTAAAAAGGAACTCACCTTGTGGTATAACCGGCAAGAGAGAAAGCCTTTGAGCTCCGTACTGTTTCAGAGAGAATCCTTGATAATCCATGATATGGCGTTTTCATCACGGCAGCATTTAGTTTAGACAGTAGCTGCCGGGTCCCGCATGAGCTCAGACCCCTCCTCTTTAAAGCTTTATACCCAAATCAGCCCTTTTGAAACAGGAAGTGAAATAGAGAGATATGAGGAGCATTACACTTCATAGACATGTTTTTTATATATTTGTTTATATATCTGAGACCCATGCTATTGCCTAAAAACAGCATGATAGGCGACCTTTAAAGATACAGGTCTTGTTTATTTCTTTCTGAATCTGCTTCATATTTCTGTTTCTTGTGGCATTAATAATCTACTGGTTGCTCACATTGTGTTGTTCTCTTTCTCCTAATGAAGGCATATCAGTATCTCCGAGAGGAGGTGAAGACTTTCCAAGGGAAGCCTATTAAGGTGAGTTGTTTGTTACATAACAAATGATAACCGGTGCAGGAAGAGGCAGAAAACCCACTGGGCTTATTTAAAACCTCCACCTTTATACGTTTGACTCTGGTAAATGCATCTGTGAAAGGATTTTTTAAATAATTGTTTTAATTACATCCTTTTTGGTATTTATTAGATTGACTCCTTTTATGTATAACACTTTGAAGTTGCATGATGCACGTGCAGATGTGCAGAAGACACAAATAAATGTAAAATACCTCCCTGACATTGCAGTTAAACATGGAGCCAGAGGTCGCGTTAACCGAATATTTTCCGTCTGACGGATTTTTTTTAACAATGACGGAAAAATCTGAAAGCAGTCCGTCATTTTGACGGATTAGAACAAACTCGGAACAGCAGCGAGGCTCCGGTGTTATGCATGCCTGCCAAAAAGGAAATGATACCGTTTCCAAACCCAACTTTGCCGTACACATCATTGAAATGTCTGTGGATTTTGGCTTTACGCTGTAGGCACTCCCGCGAGGTGCAGTGGGCATGCCCCACACCCCGTTGACAGTTCACGACCCCCAGAGTGTAAAGGCCGACGGGTAATACTGAATTTTTACGGAAATGTTACGATCCTGTCCGTCAAAATGATGGGCAGCGAAAAAATATAGCGCAACCTCTGCATGGAGCCCAAGTTTCTTTTGTTAGGGTGTAACCCAAAAGAACACAACATAAGGAAGAGAGAACAAATCTTTCTAAATGTAAGTCTGCTACTGGCAAAACGCATGATAGCACTTTCATGGAGAAATGTTAACAGTCCAAGTATTGGTAAATGGCAAACAATAACTGTCTGCATGAGAAAATAACCTATTCAATTAACCTGTTAAGCCACACACGAAACTGCTGTCGCAGGGCTTCTTAACATTTAGCAACCTATTAATGTGTCATACCCACTTAACGGGAAGAAACTCGAGGGACCGAAACAAAAACACAAGTCTAACGCCGAGCCTCTGAATTAGCACTAAGCGAAAGAGTACTAACGCACTTGGCACATAACTCACGATAGCGATCTTTTATACTTCATCGGATCTGCACAAACAATATCGAAAATATATCAGTCGAAAGCTGAGATTCCACAGATTCCATTGGTATAAGTATCATCACTGTGCGACCAGAACTCACTGCAGCGAAAGTCAGGAAAGACAACACACAGCTTCACCTTACGGGGCCAAACTGGCAAATACGTCTTACCGTTGCTGTTTTCTGATCAAAAGTTGTGTTCAATGGCATTAAAACGCATAAACGCTGCTGAAGGTTAATCCAATGTCTCTGTGTCCCTTTGAAATGATTACTGATAATCCATCATAACATTTATGGCATGAAACTGAGATTTCACATAGAGTGTATGAGAGCTGTAACCCAACTTCCGGTTTTGGGCATGCTGGCTGCGCATCACTCTCATTCACCAATGGTAATGTTTAGATGGATTTAGGAACCTCCCCTCGATTCTATTGGCTCTAACGGTTCAAAAGAGATGTCAATCATCAACATCGACCAATGGGTTCCAGAGATATTGAAAATCCACCCAAATGACCCCAGAAGTGTTTTTTTCTTCTTCTAAACCTCTAAAAAGGTCAAATGTCACTTGTTTTGCATCAATCTTGATACAGTGTACTTATTATATGTTATAGTTTGGATTCCTAAAGCTTTTAGTCTACTATCCCATCATTCAAGGTTAGTTTTCACTAGAAGTAAAGTGTTTATTTTGGACGGACACAATCATTTACATTATTTTACTGTGTTCAATCTGAATTTACTTTAAAATAAAAAAAATCTTTATTGATTCTGACTTTTCTACATCCAACTCACAGGTTTACCATTGCTTTGAGAAAAAAGATTATTAATGTATCCCTTTTAGAAGTAAAGTTATAGTCATTCGTTCTGGGCCTTTTCGAGCCTGAGGCCTGGAAAACAGGCTCGGGGCTGAACAGGTTAACTATCTGGAGCATGCGGATCTAGAGAGTTCTCTGGGTCAGCAAATGAGAGACTATTCTATTTATGTGACTCGTAATGTACTTCATTTTGTTATGTCTTGTGGATGTTTGTGTACGGTCTTATATTTTGTCTATCTATGCTAAGACAAAAACGGTTTTAATTCCCCCGCCCTGTTTCTGTCTCTCTCTCCTCCAGGCGAGGATAAAGGCGAAGGCGATCGCCATCAACACTTTCATGCCAAAGAACGGTTACCGTCCGGTGGAGGTGAACCCGTATGCCCAGCAGCAGCAGCAGCAACAACAACAACAACAACAACAGCAGCAGCAGCAGCAACAACAACAACAACAGCAGCAGCAGCAGAGATACACGTCGTACTACATCCCCCCGGTGTACAGCCCCCAGCAGCAGTTCCCTCTCTACAGCCTCATCACGCCACAGGCATGGTCCGCCACACACAGCTTCATCGACCCCACGCTGGTGAGAGCATGCTTTAAATAACCACAAACAATTATACTTTTTAATGTTTGTTTTTCATATTTTTAATTGATGTTTTTTAAAATATTTTATACGTTTTTAGGATGATTTTTTTTTAAACAAACATACGTGTGCATTTTCACTGTTAGATAAACTAATACAAAACTAAACGTACAGATGTTTATCTAAAAGATGGACTCAGGATTCATTGCATTTACGGAGGTGATATTTATTCAAACAGTTGAGTTAAAAGTATTTACATTTTAACCCTAAAAAAATTAATCAATTTTATCAGTTTTTTTTAAAATATTTAAATATTTTTTATATTCAAAATATATTGCTAACATTTACATCAGATCACATCAGTCCAGTACTGAAGTCTTTACACTGGCTTCCTGTCTACCAAAGAATTGATTTTAAAGTACTATTGCTGGTTTTTAAAGCACTAAGGCCCCATTTACACGGGAACGCAAATGAACCGAGTTCGATATCAAAAAAGTCTTCCGTTCACACGGATACGGCTCAATAAACGTGTCCATCCACACGAGACCGCTCGACCCGCTGTAGACGCTGTAGTACATATGCCAGGCCTGTAAGTGGCGCAGTACTTTCGCCACAAAATACACCAAAAGCAGCGAAGAAGACCCCACAAGCATGGTTGCCCTTCTGTTTATTCTCCGCGGTGGATATAGCAACATGTAGTTCATGTAGTTCTCCATGTCCACTTGTTGCTGATGGTTGTGGTAGAGGAGCTGTAGATGTTGCTCTAACATCTGTAGCATGGTCAGTAGCTACTGACCATGCTACAGATGTGAGCAGCAAAGGTGGGGAGAGGCGGGGCTATGGCTTCATCGTTATCAAGGTGAGTTCTGGATTAAGTCGTGGACTTCGGGTCGTGGCTGAACCTGTCTCTGCGGTCCTGCCTTGGGTCTCGTCATGCTGCTTCCCTGATGGCTTCCACAGGATTGTAGCTGACATCCTCGTGGATTCATCTTCTTATTACAGACACATGCATTTCCAAACATTTGGACTACCTATGTTGCAAATGTATTATCTTTTCAATTTACACACGGCATCTATTGCACGTCTGTCCGTCCTGGGAGAGGGATCCCTCCTCTGTTGCTCTCCCTGAGGTTTCTCCCATGTTCCCCTTTAAACTGTGGGTTTTCTCTGGAGTGTTTCCTTGTACGATGTGAGGGTCTAAGGACAGAGGGTCTAAGGACAGAGGGTCTAAGGACAGAGGGTCTAAGGACAGAGGGTCTAAGGACAGAGGGTCTAAGGACAGAGGGTGTCGTTTTTCTCATACTGATATTCTGAACAATCAGTGCTGTTGTATTTACTGTAGGCTATTTTTATTTTATGTACAGCACTTTGGCTCCACCAAAAATCGTTTATAAATGTGCTATATAAATAAAACTTGATTTGATTTGATCAGGAAATGATCAGGGCGTACACACGGAGCCGTTTGGCCCCCCAGAGCGTTCTGTCCGCAGATCTATCCACCTTGGGACCCGTTATCGTTTTATGGGTCCGTTTCCGCGGTTCCGTTACGGCCTCGTGTGAACGAATACGCTCGAGAAAAGTAGCAGATACCGTTTCGTTCCCGTGTAAACGGCACCTAAATGGTTTACGACCAAATGATATTATCGATCTCCTGCAAAAATATGAACCATCCAGGAGTCTCAGGTCTTCTGCGACGGCTCTGCCTGTTTTTATATAATGTGCTTCCACTGTATTTGTTCTTCAATGTCTTTTATCTTATTTTGTAAAGCACTTTGGTTGCCGTGTGTAAACTTGCCTTTTAATGTGTTTAAATTAACATTTTACTTCGACTTCATTTGTTTAAATAAACATTGTTTATTTGTATCTTTTTCTTCCTTTTTTAAGTTGAATCTATATTTTTATTTTAAACGTAATCAAAATTGAACCAGTGACTTTTATTTTTTGTATTTTTTCATTTGAATTGCCCTTTTCACTTCCTGTTTACGGGTCGAAGGCGCTTTACTAATGAATCTTGTGCTTTCCAGGTTGCACCATTTCACAACAACCAGTTCATCAATGGATTCACCACATCACACGGTTTCAAACCCACGACGTCTCCTCTCACCGTCAGACACTATTCTCCCAGGAACAGGTTGGTCACTGATATCAAGAACATTAATAGGGGGTGGACTACACACACATTTTTAAGGAAGTGTGGGGAGTATTGAAGGAGATTTACAATAACAGAAGGGATGTTTTGTAACGGAGGCATAATGGACATAGTGAGGGACAGGTGTAATAACAGTCAATATTTTTTTTGATTTTTGATTTTTTTTCCGCTTTGGGATTTGTCTTGGCAGATGAGAAGCGCTAAATGAATTGAATTTATTATTAACACTCCAAAATACAGCAAACACAGAAACCCATACAAAATATGACTGTTTTAAATGAATATATGATCATTTGACACGACACCTGCCTCCCTCAGGAAAGAAATAATAAAGTATGTCGTCTTGTTCTTCCCCCCCTCAGGAGTCACAGTAAACCTCACTTGAGGCCTTCCCTCCCGACGGCAGATCGCAGCGCCGGGCTTCTGGACAACCCGGGGTTATTTCCCAGCTTCCCCAGCGAGCGTCTGAACGGGGTCCGCAGCAGCCCCCCCGCCCGCCCTCCCCCCTCCACTCAGCCCAGGACCCGGCTGCCCTCCAGCAGCTCCTTCCCCCGCAGAGACACCGCCGGCACCGGCAGGGTGACGGAGCCCCCCACCCCCTGAATACTCCCTGGGCATCGGGAGAGGAAGGTAGGATACAAAACCAAAATACTACCTTTGAGGCATTTTAAAGATCAGCTATTATGCAAAATCCACCTGTTCATGTCTCTTCTACATCAACATGTGTCCCCTCTTATTCATGTCTCTTCTACATCAACATGTGTCCCCTCTTCTTCATGTCTCTTCTACATCAACATGTGTCCCCTCTTCTTCATGTCTCTTCTACATCAACACGTGTCCTCTCTTCTTCATGTCTCTTCTACATCAACATGTGTCCCCTCTTCTTCATGTCTCTTCTACATCAACATGTGTCCCCTCTTATTCATGTCTCTTCTCCATCAACATGTGTCCCATCTTCTTCATGTCTCTTCTACATCAACACGTGTCCTCTCTTCTTCATGTCTCTTCTACATCAACATGTGTCCCCTCTTCTTCATGTCTCTTCTACATCAACATGTGTCCCCTCTTCTTCATGTCTCTTCTACATCAACATGTGTCCCCTCTTATTCATGTCTCTTCTACATCAACATGTGTCCCCTCTTCTTCATGTCTCTTCTACATCAACATGTGTCCCCTCTTCTTCATGTCTCTTCTACATCAACATGTGTCCCCTCTTCTTCATGTCTCTTCTACTCAACATGGTGTCCCCTCTTCTTCACGTCTCTTTTACATCAACATGTGTCCCCCTCTTCTTCATGTCTCTTCTACATCAACATGTGTCCCCTCTTCTTCATGCTCTTCTAGCATCAACATGTGTCCCCTCTTCTTCATGTCTCTTCTACATCAACATGTGTCCCGTCCGTCTTCTTCATGTCTTTCTACATCAACATGTGTCCCGTCTTCTTCATGTCTCCTTCTACATCAACATGTGTCCCCTCTTCTTCATGTCTCTTCTACATCAACATGTGTCCCCTCTCTTCATGTCTCTTCTCCATCAACATGTGTTCCCCTCTTCTCCATGTCTCTTCTACATCAACATGTGTCCCATCTTATTCATGTCTAAACATGGTCCCCTCTTCTTCATGTCTCTTCTACATCAACATGGGTCCCCTCTTCTTCATGTCTCTATACATCAACATGTGTCCCCTCTTCTTCATGTCTCTTCTACATCAACACGTGTCCTCTCTTCTTCATGCTTTCTATCAATGTCCTCTTCTACATCAACATGTGTCCCCTCTTCTTCATGTCTCTTCTACATCAACATGTGTCCCCTCTTATTCATGTCTCTTCTCCATCAACATGTGTCCCATCTTCTTCATGTCTCTTCTACATCAACACGTGTCCCTCTCTTCTTCATGTCTCTTCTACATCAACATGTGTCCCCTCTTCTTCATGTCTCTTCTACATCAACATGTGTCCCCTCTTCTTCATGTCTCTTCTACATCAACATGTGTCCCCTCTTATTCATGTCTCTTCTACATCAACATGTGTCCCCTCTTCTTCATGTCTCTTCTACATCAACATGTGTCCCCTCTTCTTCATGTCTCTTCTACATCAACATGTGTCCCCTCTTCTTCATGTCTCTTCTACATCAACATGTGTCCCCTCTTCTTCCGTCTCTTCTACATCAACATGTGTCCCCTCTTCTTCATGTCTCTTCTACATCAACATGTGTCCCCTCTTCTTCATGTCTCTTCTACATCAACATGTGTCCCCTCTTCTTCATGTCTCTTCTACATCAACATGTGTCCCCTCTTCTTCATGTCTCTTCTACATCAACATGTGTCCCCTCTTCTTCATGTCTCTTCTACATCAACATGTGTCCCCTCTTCTTCATGTCTCTTCTACATCAACATGTGTCCCCTCTTCTTCATGTCTCTTCTACATCAACATGTGTCCCCTCTTCTTCATGTCTCTTCTACATCAACATGTGTCCCCTCTTCTTCATGTCTCTTCTACATCAACATGTGTCCCCTCTTCTTCATGTCTCTTCTACATCAACATGTGTCCCCTCTTCTTCATGGTCTCTTCTACATCAACATGTGTCCCCTCTTCTTCATGTCTCTTCTACATCAACATGTGTCCCCTCTTCTTCATGTGTCCTTCTACATCAACAACATGTGTCCCCTCTTCTTCATGTCTCTTCTACATCAACATGTGTCCCTCTTCTTCATGTCTCTTCTACATCAACATGTGTCCCCTCTTCTTCATGTCTCTTCTACATCAACATGTGTCCCCTCTTCTTCATGTCTCTTCTACATCAACATGGTTCCCCTCTTCTTCATGGCTCTTCTGCATCAACATGTGTCCCCTCTTCTTCATGTCTCTTCTACATCAACATGTGTCCCCTCTTCTTCATGTCTCTTCTTCATCAACATGTGTCCCTCTTATTCATGTCTCTTCTAACATCAACATGTGTCCCATCTTCTTCATGTCTCTTCTACATCAACACGTGTCCTCTCTTCTTCATGTCTCTCTACATCAACATGTGTCCCTCTTCTTCATGTCTCTTCTACATCAAACATGTGCCCTCTTCTTCATGTCTCTTCTACATCAACATGTGTCCCCTCTTCTTCATGTCTCTTCTACATCAACATGTGTCCCCTCTTTTCATGTCTCTTCTACATCAACAGTGTCCCCTCTATGTCTACTCAACATGTCCCCTCTTCTTCATGTCTCTTCTACATCAACATGTGTCCCCTCTTCTTCATGTCTCTTCTACATCAACATGTGTCCCCTCTTCTCATGTCTCTTCTACATCAACATGTGTCCCCTCTTCTTCATGTCTCTTCTACATCAACATGTGTCCCCTCTTCTTCATGTCTCTTCTACATCAACATGTGTCCCTCTCTTCATTCTCATGTCTCTTCTACATCAACATGTGTCCCCTCTTCTTCATGTCTCTTCTACATCAACATGTGTCCCCTCTTCTTCATGTCTCTTCTACATCAACATGTGTCCCCTCTTCTTCATGTCTCTTCTACATCACATTGTGTCCCCTCTTCTTCATGTCTCTTCTACATCAACATGTGTCCCCTCTTCTTCATGTCTCTTCTACATCAACATGTGTCCCCCTCTTCTTCATGTCTCTTCTACATCAACATGTGTCCCCTCTTCTCCATGTCTCTTCTACATCAACATGTGTCCCCTCTTCTTCATGTCTCTTCTACATCAACATGTGTCCCCTCTTCTTCATGTCTCTTCTACATCATCATGTGTCCCCTCTTCTTCATGTCTCTTCTACATCATCATGTGTCCCCTCTTCTTCATGTCTCTTCTACATCATCATGTGTCCCCTCTTCTTCCTGTCTCTTCTACATCATCATGTGTCCCCTCTTCTTCATGTCTCTTCTACATCAACATGTGTCCCCTCTTCTTCATGTCTCTTCTACATCAACATGTGTCCCCTCTGTGGAAAGAGACTCTGAAAGTTTCAGGAACAAAGATTCTCTCTCTTTTTGATCCATTTCTATAAAAACCTGTCTGAAAATGAGCTGATCAGATTTTGGCCACTTTATGATGTCATAACGATGTTTTGTCTTGTGTAACCATTAGCCAATCAGCAACCAAGGTAACCCCCCCCACCTTATCACCTGAATCTCCTCCTAGAGCACCATTGAGTTCTTTGTAACCAAATGTCTCTCAGAGGGGCGTGGGGAGGGGCTCCTTATTTTCATCTCAAGCAACAGACAGAGAATCAGCACTTTGGAAACAGCGCTGAAACAGAGGGGATTATGGGTAATGCTGCAATGATCTGTTTGGTGTTTCAGCCAATCAGAGACAGGCTCTGGATATATCTGAGACCTGTGATATATTGATGAAAAACAGTATAATAGGGGACCTTTAATACAAAGTGTTTTTTGACACCGGTCTCACTAAATGTTCCATTTAACAGCAGTGGATCTTTGGATCTATATTTATCGAATCGTAAAATGCTCGTCACACTATTTTGATAAATGCTTAAATTTCACCAATCTCATAATAGTCTGCGCGACTTGTTTCCTTAACCCAAAATGCTGCTCATGATTACTGTAAGGGAGTCGTGATAAATGTAAAAGCCTTTTTTAATTCTGTCTCATTTTCTCCGATTTAAAAACAGTAGCTTCGAATTAAAACAGTAAAGCCTTTTAATCTATATATATCGAATTGTAAAATGCTTTAGTTTCACCCAAACTTGTCAATACCAGCTTTATTTTCCAACTGGGCTTCAAATGTCTGCATGACTGGTTTCTTTATCCAAACAGTGCAGAAAGTGCAGTTAATTATTCCCATAAGGGAGTTGTGATAACATTTGAAAAGCTTTTTTTGTCTCGGACCCAAAAAACATCTGTATTTCGATTTGTTTTATTCGTTTTGAGCCGGAAAAAATCCACAGCCATCATTTAAAATGTGTGAAACTTGAAGGCTTAAAAACAATTCAATTCCTAAGTCAGTAAAAGAAAACGTACAGACACAACGCACCAACGTGATCTGCTTAGCAACACCTTCCTGAGGCATTTACACATTATTTTATGGTGTGACTCGGAAATAAAGTCATGCTGGACATTGGAACAGTCCTTTCTGCGTAGCATCCTTGAAATAGTGGCTCTGGAGCATCCTTCCTCGACATTGAGAAACACCCAATGTCTTCCTTTGTCCGTCTTCACTGTGCTGCAGATACGTTTACTTCTCACACTGTGCAGGGTGAAGGCAAGGCATTAGTCAGGCTGGATGTTTGTTTGTAAATTGAAGTATTTTTTAAAGGAAAATGTTTTTTTACTTCTAGGAAAAAGAGGGATGAAAAGTTTACAGTAAGTATTTTTTTCTTCATCTTTGATGTGAATCTAGCTTTTCTTTCTACGACTAGACTAATGTTTCTCAAACTTTTTCATACCAAGCACCAAACTCCACACGTATCCAAAAACACATTGTTTTCTGGAACAGATTACAAATCGCCTGAAAATGTTACAAACAAGTGGCAACAAGGTGTTGCGCTTAAACTGAAACTTAAGCTCGCTCCTTTGCGGAGATATTCCCAATTATAATAAATAAATAGATTTATTTCAAATGTGAAATGTTACCAATATACTCACGGACCACTAGGGGGCGCTCACGGACCACCCTTTGAGAAGCACTGGTCTAGGCTAATGGAAAGAAAGCAGGATCAACTGCTTCCTGTTCTGAAATCATGAGGGAACGAAAAATGTTAATTTAGTTTTTGGGAGGAGGGTAAATATTTATATATATTTAGTTTATATATAATTTGTAAGTCAATACTCTTTTTGTTCATCAATTTGATACTGCTTATGTTTGTACAGTATCCTCATTCTCTTGTTTCATTATTATTAATATTATTGATTTAGACGTTCGAAATAAATAAAAAGCAAAGTACGTTTACTGTCAGCTTAAATGATCAGAATGCCTTTATTAGGAAATGTACTTTGTTACAGCAGAAAAGAGCCAAAGACAGCTTACCTAAGAAGCATGCTTAAAGAAATATGAAAGACACAACAAATAATTATCTGTGGAGTTCCTGTGCTCTTAACCTTTTTTATATTTGATTCAACATGCTCCTGAGATAACTTTTTGTTTTATTATTCTCTCCTTATAGCAGTGAAGCACCCTTTAGATGTTTTTAAAGTGTGCTATTTAAATGAAATGTATTATTATTATACATTTTGTTAACCCTTAGAGGCATAAGTGGGTCTTTTTTGACCCGGTGAGGTGGTGTTCTTGAAGTATCTTTGTAACTACATTTTTTTTATCATTTCATATTCCAGCTATTCCTCAAACAACATGCCATTCACATTTTAAATTTACATTTTAAGAAATTGTAGTTTTTGTATTTCCACCCCGAGCTTCCATACGTGGGTTAAAAATGCATTCATTTCCTATGGGATCCTTTGATTCTTATCACCTGTGGCTGTCAGGACTACATTCACTGTGGACCACACAGACGACACCACAAGTGACACCTCTCAGGAAGATTATTTTACACCGCAAGATCTGATACCTGTCAGTATAATAATAATACATTATATTTGTATAGGGCTTTTCAAGAACTCAAAATCGCTTTACAATATAAGGGAAGGTTAGGGTGGGGGGGGGGGACTATCAAACTTGATCAACCGGCATGGATTGATGGGGGGGGGGCTATGATGAGTAGACAAGAGGAGAAGAGATGAGTTTTGAAAAGCGACTGGAATACTGTGAGGGTCTCAGAATAGCAGAGATATTTGCATCGATTTTTTCAAAATGTAATTTCTTTTTTATAAATAGTGAAAAATTAAATATAAAATATTTCTAGTGTGAACCAAAATATAATACTAAATATTATACAAGTGATTTTTCTAAACAAAAATGGCATAGAAACACATTATTCTAATACGGGTCCTTTTTGACCCACTTGTGGAAGAGTGTAGTCACTTAAGGGTTAAACTGGTATTTCTGATTTTCTTTTAACATTTATCACATTACACAACATTACACACACACAACCGGACATTACACAACATTACACACACACAACCGGACATTACACAACATTACACACACACAACCGGACATTACACAACATTACACACACACAACCGGACATTACACAACATTACACACACACAACCGGACATTACACAACATTAACACACACAACCCGGAATCATTTACACAACATTACACCACACACAACCTGGACATTACACAACATCACACACACAACCGGACATTACACAACATTACACACACAACCGGGACAGTTACACAACATCACACACACACAACCGGACATTACAACACACATTACACACCAACCACAACCGGACATTACACCCCAACATTACACACACACACCGGACATTACAACAACATCACACACACAACCGGACATCTACACAACATTACAACACACACAACAGGACATTACACAACATCACACACACAACCGGACATTTACACAACCTTACACACCCACAATCCGGAATTACACACATCCACACACACACAACCCGGACCTTACACAACATCACACACACACAACCGGACATTACACAACATTACACACACACAACCGGACATTACACAACATTACACACACACAACCTGACATTACACAACATTACACACACACAACCGGACATTACACAACATTACACACACAACCGGACATTACACAACATTACACACACACAACCGGACATTACACAACATTACACACACACAACCGGACATTACACAACATTACACACACACAACCGGACATTACACAACATTACACACACACAACCGGACATTACACAACATTACACACACACAACCGGACATTACACAAATTACACACACACAACCGGACATTACACAACATTACACACACACAACCGGACATTACACAACATCACACACACAACCGGACATTACACAACATTACACACACACAACCGGACATTACACAACATCACACACACAACCGGACATTACACAACATTACACACACAACCGGACATTACACAACATTACACACACACAACCGGACATTACACAACATCACACACACAACCGGACATTACACAACATCACACACACACAACCGGACATTACACAACATCACACACACACAACCGGACATTACACAACATCACACACACACAACCGGACATTACACAACATCACACACACAACCGGACATTACACAACATTACACACACACAACCGGACATTACACAACATTACACACACACAACCGGACATTACACAACATTACACACACACAACCGGACATTACACAACATTACACACACACACAACCGGACATTACACAACATTACACACACACAACCGGACATTACACAACATTACACACACACAACCGGACATTACACAACATCACACACACACAACCGGACATTACACAACATTACACACACACAACCGGACATTACACAACATTACACTACACCACACTACATTACACAACATTACACACACACAACCGGACATTACACAACATTACACACACAACCGGACATTACACAATACACAACACAACGGACATTACACAACATTACACACACACAACCGGACATTACACAACATCACACACACACAACCGGACATTACACAACATCACACACACACAACCGGACATTACACAACATCACACACACAACCGGACATTACACAACATCACACACACACAACCGGACATTACACAACATTACACACACACAACCGGACATTACACAACATCACACACACACAACCGGACATTACACAACATTACACACACAACTGGATAATACAAATTAAAAGACAAAGTAGAAAATATACATGTTGAATTGACTAATGAACAATATATAAAGCAAGGTGTTATATATACATAAGTATGTGAAATGTGTTATTCTTATGAGTATTTGTTGCCGTTGTGTAGAGAGTGACGCCCCAGTCGCCGCCTCCCCCCCCAAAACCTCCGTCTCCGAGTTTCGAGCTGGGCCTCTCCAGTTTCCCTCCTCTCCCCGGAGCCGCCGGGCAGCTGAAAACCACAGAAGAAGTGTTCGACAACCGGCTGGCCAGCAGCGTCGTTATCGGAAACGCTAAGGAGCGGGTAAGCACTGAAACTGAGGCTTTTATATCTGACATGCTGTCGGGAAACACTCAGAGCCACTGCAGTCTTCTGTGCTTCTCAGTGCAGCACATATTGTGGCTTAAGTAAAGTAGAGTTTCTTACACAAATAAATACATCCTGAGGAGCGGGTAAGCACAGAAACTGAGGCTCTCCAATATATGACACGCTGTAGGGATTAACAACAATATCCAGTCTGGTATACATGAACAACTGCAGTAAATATACAAAGAACAGACACTGAACATGTATTGCGTGTGCCAGGTGTGATCCATGTGGGGGGAGGGGCACATAAGAGCGGGAAATGTATCAAATTGTTCTGTGTGTGTTTGTGTGTGCCAGGTGTGATCCATGTGGGGGGGGATTGGCCACATAAGGGGGGACACACATCTTGTGTGTGTGTGTGTGTGTGTGTGTGTGTGTGTGTGTGTGTGTGTGTGTGTGTGTGTGTGTGTGTGTGTGTGTGTGTGTGTGTGTGTGTGTGTGTGTGTGTGTGTGTGTGTGTGTGTGTGTGTGTGTGTGTGTGTGTGTGTGTGTGTGTGTGTGTGTGTGTGTGTGTGTGTGTGTGTGTGTGTGTGTGTGTGTGTGTGTGTGTGTTCATTAATGGACATCTCTTTTAAAATGACCGCTCGGAGGAGAGGAGTTCTCATTTCTCTAACCGCCTGCTGCCTCGGCTCCTCTCTCCTCGGTTCTCCTCCTTGACTCCTCCGCTCGCATCTCCTGTGGGCGGGACTAAGACACGAGGATAGGAGTCGAGGAGGGGAATTAGATAAAGTGGAAAGGTCTACAGAGAGGAAATGCCGATGACTTCATCTTGCTTTATTTCACATTAACATCCTGTGTTGTTGTTTTCTGCAGAATGTAAGTGCAGAGTCCAGTTCTGGATCAGTTCTGTCTCCAGCGGGTCCAAAAGAACCTCTTCGCTCCTCGTCCTCTCCGAAGCCTTCGAGCTTCCAGCCGTCGCCGACCCCCTCGACCTTGACACCGGCCTCGACCTTGACCACCGGGCCGCCGCTAAGCCCCGCCCCCTCCCTCCCTGCAGCGTAAGAACACACAGCTCTGAATCTGAACTGTAGCGCAGGGTCTGTAAGTAGATCATTGTTCACTGTTGTAGCTAGCAGGTGAGTTTATTTACTTAGTGGTTTAAACATGTCACATTTAAGTAGTAAAACATCCTCTGGCAAATATTATTGTATGTCCTATATACAGAGAGGGTAAAAGTACTCACATCCTGTACTCAAGTAGAAGTACAGATACTCGTGTTTAAAAATACTCTGGTGAAAGTAGAAGTACTGACTAAACGTCTTTGCTCAAGTCAAAGTAAAGAACTTTGAAATGTGCTTCAGTAAAAAGTACCCATAACTAGCAGCTGCTTTAAAGAGTACCTGACCTCCCTTTATATTAATAGAACAATAATGTCATTGTTAGCTAATGAATGTTTCCATGCTGAACAACGGCAACATGACAACGTTTCCATTGGTCCCTCTTCTTTAGAGAAGACCAGGAAATGATGGATACACGGATCGTGTTCAAATCAATAGGCACGCAATGACTCTAAAGAATAATGATCACGCACCAAACACACATTCAGACTAAAGCTCACTTTGTTATCGTACCGCACCATTTCCATCACCCTTCCTCTATAACTTACATTTACACTAAGATAGAAATAATAACAACAATTTAAATACAAGGAAAGGTTTATAAAATGTCAGATTTTACTGAAAGCGTGTGGTTTGAATTGGGTGTTCATGATCATTGTAATCGTATGGTCTGGCTGCTCGCATTGAGTTCATTTTCTCTACCTTTTTTTAAATGTCTCTTCTCCCTCGTTTGTATTTATTTCAGGGAGGTGAAGGTGACGGAGGTGAAACCGAAGGAGGTGCAGCTGTCCGTGGAGCGAGTTCCCGGCACACTGTCCAATGCCAGCAAATCAGTGCAAGTCAACGGTGCTGCAACAGTGAGTATTGATTCCTTTCTTTACCTTCTGTTAGAAAAATATCGCTGGAGCTTCAATCTCAGGATCCATGTATCTGTGATCCAGAATGGAAGTAGTCTTCACATACAGAGCATCAACTAGTCCTTCACATGCTGATATCCAAGAGAGGGAGTTACACAGTCACTAGATGGAGGAATACCGGTTCTTGTAATCATACATCCTGTCATGTAAAAAGTTTTTTCTCAAAAAAAAGTTTTTTCTCAAAATGTTGACTTTTTTCCAAAAATCTCGACATGACTTCTTCTCAAAATTATGACTTTTTCTCAAAATCTCCAATAATTATGACTTTCTCAAAATCTCCAATAATTATGACTTTCTCAAAATCTCCAAAAATCCTGACTTTTTCTCAAAATCCTGACTTTTTCTCAAAATCTCCAAAAATTATGACTTTTTCTCTAAATTCTGACCTTTTCAAAAAATATTGAATTTCTCAAAATCTCAAAATCCTGACTTTTTATTAAAAAATTCTGACTTTTTATCAAAATCTCAAAATTCTGACTTTTTTTATCAAAATTCTGACTTTTTCCGAATACTTAAAAATGGTAATAATCACTCCTCACCGGTACCTCCACGTCAGAAATGAGCATGCTTGTCATATGTGAATCATCATGTTAATCACATAGCTATCATCTGCCTAAACCAGTCCTGCTGCTCTTCTAGGTCATCACACATCCTGTCATGTTCACAGCTACAGTTGGGATACCTTTGTTATCACGTTACTCTGATACTGGAAGAGGACATTCAGGGTTTTTAGTCCCTTTTTTAATGCTCAGACAAATCAATCTAAGCACGGACAAACACGGGGAATTAATCGCAGCTTAATTCTGCTGCATTGATTTTGATTAAATCCTCTGTTGCGGGAACAAATAAAGTTTCTAAAAAGGTATCGGTCCGAGAGATTAAGGAAAGCTTTTCTTATTATTTAGGATAGGAAGGAGACTGCAGATGCATGTGGGAGGAACAGAAACCCCCCAAAGGGCATTTTAAATTAAGAATAGGTGAATATAATGTGAGGAAAAAGGAACAACTGAAGGTTTGATAAACTCACATTTTAGTAACTCAATGTAATTTATATTTTATTGAGCACAGTCATTGTCGCAGCCATTTCAATATGTCGGTGGTTTGGGGAAGGGGATGCTGTCAAAAAAATCCAATACATTTACATTTTCAAGGTACAAAATTGACAGCATTTGTCACATGAACACGAACCATTAGGCGCTTTCACACCGGAGTACTTTTCCCGTTTAGTTCCGATAGTTCCTGGGATTTTGCGTTCACACCAAAAAGAGAACTTAGTTCATGAGAACTTTTCTCCCCTTTTTTGAGCCTGCTAGAGAGGTGGGACTTTCCTGGGGAGAAAAAAGTACCAATTTCTGATTGGCTGGGCGAATTGCAAACCACGCCCCGTAAAACTCTGAAAAGTTTTTTGAAGCCGCCATTGTATTTTCTGGCATTAGCATTATTAGCATTATTAGCATTAGCCCCGCGCAGCAACGGAGAGAGACTAACTTATGGCAACACAAAAACATTGGAGCGGTGGAGATGAGGAGGTGTCGGCGTTCTGGCGATTTACTCGGAAGGCTTCAGTAGAAGCTGCTGGGACTCCCAGCAGCTTCTACTGAAGCCAGTCCCCAACTCCGGGGACGTGAGCGGCTTCATTTGCGTAATCTTCCCTCAGGGAACTTATTCCGGTGAGAACGCGTTCGGCTCTTTAGTTCCATGTGGGAACTAAGTGCTGGGAACTAAGTGCGGCAAAGTACTTGGTGTGAAAGTGGCTTTTGTGTCATTAGACATGAGATTATTTCCTGACTTTCCCGTCGTTGTTTCCCTGCAGGAGTTAAGGAAGCCCACATCTCATTCTCCTCAGAAATATTTGTATTAGATTTTTTTTAAAGGCAACAACAAACATCAACACATTACACATTTAGCCCTCCTCTCGATCCATTGATGCTCCATTGAGTATTTCCTGACTCTTCTCGTTGTTTCCCTGCAGGAGTCGAGGAAGCCCTCCTACGCTGAGATCTGTCAGCGGGCGAAGGACTCCTCGTCTTCATCGCAGCAGCTTGGGACCCCGAAAGAAGCAAAGCCAGGCTGCGCTGCCCCCGGTGGCGAGGAGAGGAAGTGCCCCAGTGACGCATCAGAGGCCAAAACCAGAGAGACATACCCCCCTTCCTCCTCTTCCTCCTCCTCTTCCTCCTCTTCCTCCAAACCCCTCACCCCTGGGAGACACCAGAGGGAGGCTCGGAGGCCGGCTGGACGCTGGGCCTCCCCGCCCCCCCCACATCGGGAAAACCCCAAACAGAGAAACCCACCAAACCCCGCCCAAATCCCCGCAGTAAAAAAAAACAAAAAAAAAAAACAGAAATATAAGTCAGGGCTACTCAATGCTTATATCCCAGAATCAGCATCAGTCACATGGATAGGGGACGCCTTCTCTTCTGGATCAGGGCTTGCAGACAAAAAGCACTTTACTGTGCAATGTAGAGCACCTTTTCATTCTTTTTATTCTATTTATTTCCTTTTTTTTTATTTCAGTTTTGCCTACACCCCGGGCACAGACAACACTGAAACATGTCTTTTTTCTTTCATTAGTCCAAAAGGCCTTGTGGGATTTAAACATTTAAAAAGTCTTGTGTGCAAAGAAAGCAGCAGCAGCAGCAGGGCATTGTGGGAAGTTTGCCCCCCCGCCCCCAGTGGATGATGGGAAAGAGTGAGCAGAGGGGTTTGTTTGCATGTCAAGGGGCACTGTTGTGCGACTTTATGTAGCTTAATTATGGGTCATAATTAGCAGTTTTCTATTACATACTCACATCCGTATGCAAGACTTAAATCACAACAAGACTCTGATCTTTTTTTCCGCCTCAAACTGGATTTATTTTGCAGATTTATTAACAAAAAAATTGTTTTTTTTTCAACTTTTCCTGTGAACTATCGGTACAGTCACTCCTGGTTATTGTCGCTGGGTGTCACTTTTCTTCCTCGCATCTCTGTAAAGAATCACCTCCATCTGCTGTGTTGTTGTTTTTACTGTTTGCTAACACTGCTAACTAGCTAGCTGTAGCTTGTATCTTAACGGCCGTGATATCAGTGCTGTTTTTTTTTTTGTTTTTTTTTAAGCGTCAGACAAGAAGGGCATGTTGATATCTGCAACCAAGCTTGAATATATAAATTAGGCATTGGCGCAAATTGGCTGAAAGTGTCCGTCGTGTGTGATTATATTCCTGGCATTGCATTTTTTAGGGAAAACCCGAGCGAGCTTTTTCGACTGCTCCTCTCATTTCCTATTTAAAACTGTGGAATCAGGCACATACTGTCAAAGGAAAAAGGCAGGGCTGACACATTTAAAGTCCAGTTGTCAGGATTAAAACAGCTCTGGAGGTGAGGAAACACTCGTGAGCTGCAACTAGGACGAAGGAAATTGGTTATTGATTGAGAAACATGACAGAAAGTGAGTTTCCTGCTGGAGTTTAGCAAGCCGAGTGGGAAGCTTCACGTGTTTTCCTCTAGATATGGTGCTAGACGTCGAATCCTGGAACCTGTTACAGCAGCTCATCTGATATTGTGTGTACAAAATACTTGATTTAAATGTATCGACAGAACTTTAATTGCACTGTTATGGCGTCTTTTTTCCTCAGACTCGCAGGCAAATGCATTATTAGACAAGTGATGAGAGAAAAAAAAGGGAATTGATCCTGAACGTCAAGGGAAGAGAAAGAAAATGTATCTCTGTGGACGCAATCGCCTTGTTTTTGTTTGTGTTGTTGTGCCTTGTGGACGCCTGTTGAACACTGTGGTGAAGGATGGGCAGCGTCACTTGACTTTACAGATTTATCTCGCTTTATATAGATTTTTTTTTCAAAACCGAAGGAGTTCATGCAGTGGTTTGGATTTTGGCTCATCAGTGAGGATTTTCATTGCTTGTAAAATTACGGAAAAGTGAGACGGTTGGATTGAAAGTTTTACTTGTAACAAAAGGTAAAATATGAGTTTTTTTGGGGCGGAATGTAGTTTGCCATGTTGAAGTGTGAAAGGGATTTAGTTGGGAGTCCCGTCGGGGCTCATGTGAACGGTGTTGAACTAAACTTTAAACATTTAAGAGAACAGAAAAAAGCAGGTGGGTTTTACAGCAGGGAAATCTGAGTCGTGTAAAATGTCGTCCTCGGGGTGGAGATGTTCCCTCGTCTTCCTCAGCGTCGAGTCTTCACCGCTCGTTGGTTTTTCTGTCAGCATGCTCCCTTGTCTTCTATTTTCAAGTTTGCACACTTTGATTTATCCTGAGTTTTCTTTCAAATAAAAAAAAAGTGTGGAAAAGATTAACCGAAAAGCACCACAGACCTTCTTCCTGCTTCACTCTTGGGAGAAAAGCAGTTGGATTTGATGTGAAGAAAAACACACTTTTTCTCACTTGGAGCTTACAGAATGTGCTACCACATACATTTAAGCTCAATGGGATGTAATCGAGCGGATGATTTTGAAGCCGATCTATCCCTCTGCAGAGTGAAGTAGCAAGGATTCAGAAGCAGGGAGGAAACTTGTGTTAAATTGAAGGTTTGGTTGGGAACTCTGTCTACTGTAGCAGCCACTTTGGCAGAAAACCAACCAAGTCTTGCACTGTAGTCTAAAAATGGAATTGGCTGGCGAAATGGTAAAAATAAGTTTTGAATTGACATCGGATTCATAAAACTGCAATTGTGAGACGTTAAAAGCAGGTTTTTTTGGAGCGTGACAGTTTCCTCCCTTGAGTGCTTGAATTTAATCTCTTCTTAAGTTATCACAGATGCAAAACAACCATACAAAAAAAAACACTGTACTATACACAATATCTGTTTTTTTAGGGAAACAAACACACGATGTGAGACCTTGCATGTCTCGCTAAAGTCTTCCTGCAACAAGAAGCATTCTGGGTAATCCCACTAAGAGAAAACAGCCCATCTGAGGGCTTCGTTAAAGAAAAAAGCCTGCTCATAGCTGCTTTTGATTTGGACGTAAAGTTCTTGAGTTTGCTTAAAAAAATAGATATATTTTTTGGACTTTTCTTTTTGAAGGACTGAGATGCACTTGGATGGGTTGATGTTGTTTTTTTCTCATAAGTGGAAACGGTTAAAAATAAATCAAAATGCACCATATCCACGTATTTATAAACCAATGCTGTTTATTCCATGAGAAATATCATTACGTTTTTTGTTTTAGGGAGATGAAAATACATAGGGATGCATTGAGATCTCTATTTAAATGCAAAATGTAAAAAAAAAAGGAAGTGTCCATCCAGTGTTTGAGAAACTTGAATTTTATTTAAACTTGAAAAATGACTTTGCCTTAACTTTTATACAAGACAAGCATTGAGTTTATTTCTTTTCACACAAAAAAAATTCCCCAAATGTTAACAAAGCGTGACACGTGGAAAATATTTAGACGTCACAAGTCTTACTGAGAGAGAAAGAGAAAGAAAGAGGACTAATCGAGCAGCGTTTTATTTTTTACCCGGTTTTGTAAAATGTACGAGTAAATTTTTTCTTGGAATTTTTTTTTTTTTTTTTTTTTGAGGGGGGGGGAAAAACATAAAACCTTGTACATGCAAAACTAGTCAATACTGTATTAAATGTGTGCACTTTGAAGTGTGTGCTTTGCTTGTACAGTTGTAAATACTCAGAAAAATATAAGAGGTACCGTAAAAATGATTATAAAAAAATATATTGATCTCGTAATGTCGCTATCGAGCTGGATGTAGGATATACAACAACAAAAAAACGTAATATTGTGCTTTTTTATTTTTAGTTTGGGTGTCGGAGTTTAAATTCTGCTCCTCTCTGCAGGGTGGGCAGCTCGTCTGATTGTACATTTTTTTGTTGTCTTTCATTCCATTATTTTTGTATACCCCCCTCCTCACTGTGCACTAATTGGAGAGCCTGTGGTACTGACAGCATTATTAATGAACCCTTACAAATCTGCGTGTCCACCAACATCCTCTTTTTTAAAGCTCTGGCTTCCTTTTTCTTTTACGCTGGAATTTTTTGTTTTAACCACAATAATCTAGAAGTTTGATTACTGAAGAAAGAAAAAAAAAAGAAGCACTACATGTCAGATTTTTAGGCGTCACTGTGCAGCAAAGTATTTCTGACATCTCTAAATGTCCTAATACCAAGAAGATTAATAAGGCTAGTATTAACACTACACTAATACTGAATATCTATGATTATGACACGCTCATACCACAGTTTATAATCAGCATTGCGTCCACGTGTGGGCAGCATGACTCGAAAATATCTATTAATACAATAGAGAGCTGAAGTTCTGCCTCTGCTAACATTTATTTTGTGGTTTTTCGGGCCATATTCGAAGATTAATGAGTGTTTGTTTTTGCTGTTGTTGGTGGTAACATTTGGGGGTTTTGGTAATTGAAGGAGTAGGTCAAACATTTGGGAAATATAATTGTAAAATGTATCTCTTAGGGAAAAAAAGATCAATAACACTTGGGGCGTGATGTGTTAGCTTAGCTTAGCACATAGACAGAAAACAGTTAGCTTAGCAAATAGAGGGAACACAGTGAGCTTTGCACACATACAGAAAACCATTAGCCTAGCTTATCACATGGCTAGAAAACAGTTAGCTTAGCTTATCACATGGATAGAAAACAGTTAGCTTAGCTTATCACATGGATAGAAAACAGTTAGCTTAGCTTATCACATGGATAGAAAACAGTTAGCTTAGCTTATCACATGGATAGAAAACAGTTAGCTTAGCTTATCACATGGATAGAAAACAGTTAGCTTAGCACACGGACAGAAAACAGTTAGCTTAGCTTATCACATGGATAGAAAACAGTTAGCTTAGCAGACAGACAGAAAACAGTTAGCTTAGCACATGGACAGAAAACAGTTAGCTTAGCTTATCACATGGATAGAAAACAGTTAGCTTAGCACATGGACAGAAAACAGTTAGCTTAGCTTATCACATGGATAGAAAACAGTTAGCTTAGCAGACACACAGAAAACAATGTGTTCTCTATCCATGTGATAAGCTAAGCTAACTGTTTTCTGTCTATGTGATGATCACATAGACAGAAAACAGTTAGCTTAGCACATAGACAAAAAACAGTTAGCTTAGAACATTGGCAGAAAACAGTCATCTTAAAAAAAATAACATTAATTAAGTTTAATTTGTGAGCTTTAGATTTGCTTGTAAGCAGATTGGACAGAACCACGCTAGCTGTTGCCATCTGCAACCAGTGTTTATGCTAAGCTAGGCTAACCACATCCTGACACATCATGTGCTTATCGTTCAAATATTGGTATAGAACGTTGGATCACAGTCAAAAATTGTAATCAAATCAGTAACTTTTGACATAATTAGACCAGACTTTGTATGCATTATTAGCTAAGGGTCATGGGAGATGTAGTTGTTGTACGTTAGTGAATTTTAAGTTTTATATTTTAGGTTTTTTCAGAAGTTGGACTGACCCAGGTTTACAGAAATTGGGCTGAGTCCTAGTTGTGTACCTATGCTATCTAGTTTTTGGCGATAACACAATTCAGATCGGGTGAAATTGTTTGCGTTTCTTTACTGATTGGTTGTTTTTCTTTCTAACAAACTAAATTCTCAA